TGTAGAAAAGTAGAGCTGGATTATAAAACCTGATCCTAAAAAATAAAATGCAAATATAATTGGTAAACAAAATAGTCTGATAATTCTAAGGTATGTGAGTCAGCTTTCCTGAATTAGTCCCATGTCTACCTTTCACCAGAATTAGTTTCTTATCTACTTTTCACAAAGTGATCTTGAAAAAGATGCAATCCCATTTAGTGCCTCAGCTTCCTTATCAACAAAACTGGAATATAAAATACATGTCTCACAGAAAGCTGAGACCTTTTATTTGTGATAAAGAAGTAATGGCACTAATTTACTGCTATTAGAGAATGAAAAAGTACTTTGGTTTTTATTTACTATTTGGTATGCAGATGCTTAGTAACCCTAAGTAAGAAAATTTCCATTATACCTGGTACTGTACAAAAACCTAGAAAAAGAAATTCTGACACTGAAAGTTACAAGTATGAAAAATTATGGGAGAAACAAAAGCACTTGACACAAGAAATATCTTAACATTGTAGACCTCATACGTGTATTGAACTAGGTTTTTTTGTGTGTGAGAGTGGAGAAGTGTGGTGCAAATAGAAGCTGGGTAGAATTAATATTGTTCTTCTTAATTTCAGAATTGTTATTCAGCAAGAAAACCAAGTGAGAAACGCAAACTGAGAGACCACAGAAATTAGAGACAATGAAAAATCTGAAGCTTTTTTCATCCAAGAACAGTTAGTGTAAGATCACTACCTTTCATAAAAATAATAAATGCTTTTTATTTTATTTCAAACAGGAAAAAAACCAGGTTTCTGAAATTTGAGAGTGGTCAATAGAGACAATAGCAGCCAAGAGAAAGGAAGAGATAAGAAAGCATACATAATCTGAGAAACATCAAGGTAGGTATTGGTAATGGACACTCCTAGCCTAAAAGCAGATAAGGCTTAGAACTTACTTTCATATAACTTTCCTTCCAATTCTTGGACTATACTGAGGTTTTCTTTATTATTCACAATGAATTAGCCGAGCAGACCCACCAGACACGTAATGGACTTGCACAATTATTTCCTTTCCATGCTCAGACCAGATAAGCAGATCTTAAGAGGAGAGAGCACTGAAATTTTCCTTTGCTTTCTGGCTTCTGAAAGAGTTGTAATTCATGTTTCTCAGACCATGAGGAGGCATGGGATGAAGGACCTAGTAAAAGCCTGAAGATAACCTTCTCCTTTTTCATCAAAGCTGTTTCACAAGGATATTTGACTCACAAGACTAACAGCATTTTCAACATATATCCCAGATTTTGTCCAAAATTTTACCTTCAGGAGCTTTTAATCCAGCAGTTAGCTTGTTTGTCTGATGCCCATTTAGGTCCTCCTTCATAATAGCTTTTTTTTTTTTTTAGCACCACATAGCTTTGGCCACACTCCAAAGGTTTTTTTAAGAAAAGAATTGAATAGACTGCTATATAGCTAATTTATGCAGAAATTACTGTCAGTCTTATGGGCAGCTACCAAGCCTCACTGTGTTTGAAACTAATCACTTTACCAAGATATGATAATTTCGTTTAACATTAGCAAACCATCTGGTGTCTTTATATCTTGTTGTAACACAGTGCCACTGTTTTACTCAGTCCACTCTCATTAAAACAAGACAGAAGTAGCTAAGGATAAACATACACACAGATGATAAATTTATCCTCTCAATTATCTTTGTGCAAACCCTACCCCCAGAACTCATACCCACTTAGATTTTTGAAGTACAAGAGTACTACTAAAACCTAATCTGATCTCCTGTATAATGAAGGCTATCTCTTTCATGGAGTAACCTCTAAATCAAAAGAACAACATGCTTGTGTTGTGCTGCCTCTATCCTCCTCATAATGGCTGCCTTTGATGGATGAATCCAACCCACTGCTAGATAAGTTATACCAGTGGTTAATGACTCTCACTCTTAAAATATGCACCTTATTTCTAGTCTGAATTTCCCTGACTTCAGCTATGAAACATTGGATCTCATTATGCCTTTTTCTGCTAGATTAGTGAGTCATCCACTGTCAAAAGTCTCATTCCCATCAAGGCATTTGCAAACCATGATCAAGTCACCTCTTAACCTTCTCTTCAGCAGATTAAACAGGCAGATCTTTAGCCTCTAACTGCAATGCTTATTTTCAGACCTACAGTCACTCCTTCACCTTTAATGAACCCTTTCCAATTTTAAGCATATTTTCAAAGTGTGATGACCAGAACAGGACACAAAAGTTCATTAGTATTTTCCTTAATGCCATACAAAATGGGACTTCCTACTTGATATTCAGTTATCCATATATCAGAGGATATAATAACATACCATTTAAAACTGTTTTATCAGTGTCCTGTGCTCTTTGTATTTTTTAGCATTGTCTATGAGATATTCAATTCTAGCAGAACCTTATAATGCAATTCCACTTAAGGTGTTATTTTAAAATATTTTCTTGCATTTTTATCTTTTTTTATGTAAGGAAATTACATTCTTGAAGTAATTAGCTTTTGCTGACTAGAAGTATGTTTTGAAAACACTCAAATGCAGATATACTATGTTGACCAAAATTATAGCACTTTATTTTCTGATAACTCCACATCATTAGGGAAAAATACCTGATTTTACCAGGAACTTCACAATTAAAGGCTGTATATATACATATATGATTTGGTTTATCATTCATGGAATGCATATGTAATTAACCTCATTCCTTACAGAGGCAGCTCTAGTGAATAGCACTTACATCAAGACAACCCTAATGTTCTCCTGGAGATTGCTTCAAATACTGAATGAATCAAATGGGATTGTAGATTTTTCCTTTACTTTCCTGTTTGAGCATGATTTTCCCTTATTGACAATCTGCAAGAACAGATGTAGCTACGTCTAATGCTTAAGTTTAAATTAATTTCATTAGGCAATTAGTATCCATTAATAATAAAAAATATCAATAGTAGTAACAAATAATATAAATTAATTTTCTACCAGATGAGGTAGTAAACAACAGAAAAATATTTCAAATCAGTTGGTTCCAAGTTGGAATGGTTTTTAATTTTTGTTTCAGTTTCATAGCATAAAACACTTGCTAATAATGATTTGTTCACACAATAATTGAGAAAATATATATTTTCAATAGAATAAACCTTAATTTGACCTAAAATTTAGCAGATGAATAGATAAATTCTATGTTTTCTTATCATTTCTCTTTTTCACTCATGATGAAGGAGGAAAATTAATTAATGTAAAAAAAGTAATGCTAAATTATGTGATCTGACATCCTAAATCTGTTGTGTTTAAATCTAGGATTATTTCAACTGCAGACAAAAATCTTCAATGAAGGATGTGAAAATGCTATTTCATTAGACATAAGGCCTCTAGTTCTTGGATACAATACATTAGATAATCACAAAATATATCTGGACAAATGTAAACAGAAGAATAAAGCAGAAAGGAATAATTTTGCATAAAAGGGAGTACCATAGTAATATGTCTGGGGGAAAAAAGTCCGCAGAAAGAGGGATGCACTTTGCACTTAGAAATTTAGAAAACCTACCTTAGAAGTATTAAAAAAAACAAAACAGGTTACTAGAAAATAAGGATGAGACAGAAAACTAAAAATTTAAAGTTGCTTCCTAATATTTCCACAATGTCTACACCTTGAATCTAAAATAGAATTAGATCAAAATTTTCTCCCATACTATAATTAAGTCAAATCCTAGTGTGTTTTCTGGTATTTCAATAAATACCTTATTTTTTATGTCTCAAGACAAAAATAATTTTGACATTTTTAAAACACACAGTCTTTAAACTTTCAATGTCTTTACGTTTAACTACACATTTCCTGACACAATGAGATCTCTAATTGATTAGTTACTTCTATCAATTTCATCAGCTCCTTTTCCAATGAATATTCAGAGGAGAATACTCAGAACATTCCCAATGCAAGGTTTTAAGTTAAGCAGCCTGAAACATTCTGAGATATTGGAGTTGAATGATTTTTATTTCCAAGCAGAAGCTGAGAGCCTTAGAAAGTATTTATTTTATAAATTAAAACTATTTGTACACTTTGATTGGGTACAAGGTCTATGATCATAGGATTAAACAGAGATTATTTAGCCTTGATATGTAAACAAATCTTGTGCTCTTTAAATTTCATGAGAGAAACTGAGCACACAGTCCTCAATTTCTGTACCAGTTTAAAAGCTACCTTGGCACTCACTTTGCTGATTACAAGTGCCAATGTGACAGCCAACACAGAGCTTTAGGTGATTGCATAATCATTCTTAAAACTAGGCTATAGTAGCCCAAAAGTCTTCAGAAATTATCAAAGATCAGGCAAACATTGTTAAATACCTCTCTGGAAGTTCTGAGACACCTCTGTGCTATCCAGCATCAGGAGTTAAAGAACAAACCATCTTCTTTCATAAATATTTATCACTGATTTAAGTCTGCTTAAATGCCTGATGAATCTAGACAAGAAATATTTTCCTCTAATTCAGTATCTCACTTGACTATATTTCAGATTTAATTATCTTATTAGCAGGTTAAGAGAAACAGAAAAACTGGGATAATCTGAGATTTTTACTTGGACTCAAAATTTCATTCAAAAGTTTCTCAAAATTATGAAGTCCAAAAAGATTTCCTCAGTACAGCCACTAATACCCTTAGTGTTTCTTGAGTAAAGACTACAATTAGGTATAATGCTGTCGAATTAAAACTAACTTTTAATAGGACAAAGTTTAATCTTGTGTGCAGCTATAAAATATCTGAGGAAAGTACTCAGGTTTCTTCATGTACTTCACTGTTATAAATCCAATTCATTAATAGAAAATCATCAAAAAAAACTGTGGGAGATTTTTCATTTGATTCCTTTGCTATCTATTTAATTAAAAAAAAAAAGGTTTCCACTTGTTTTGGACAGCATCAGGAATCATAGTAGCTGCCCTTCAGCAAGGTGCAAAAGCTTTTCCCCCAAAAATCATGTTATAACATCTGAAACAGAACATAAAACTTACCTTGAAAAAAGTCATGGTTGCTCCATCTTCTACTGCCCCATACTCTATCTTTGTCTGCTTGGCCAAGTCGTCAGCAGAGTCAATGGGGGACTCCATCCGCTCCACTGTCAGAAAGGCGGCTAGGTTAGCAGTGTACGAGGAAATGATGATAAGTGTGAAAAACCACCAAATGCCTCCCACTATCCTGGTGGAGAGGGCTTTGGGCATGAGCTCAGAACCTAACGAAAACCAGGGGAGAAAGGTGAAACGGATGCACAGAAAACAATTCATCAGCGTTCAGCACTTTTTGCCACAGTGGGGAAATGGATTCACTGTGCAAAAAAAACCTTAAAGCTACAGGTTTAGATGTACTGCTTGTACAAACACACACAACTGAAATGCAAAATAACTGGTTAAATTTATAAAGACATATCTTTTTGGAGCTGTGGGAATCAAAATATAGTAATGGGAGATTCGCTGATCAGTTCCATTTTAGAATTTCTGAACATATATAGAAATACCAAGAGTAAAAAGCAGTTACTACAACTTGCTTTCCAGAAAAAATAAGCAATTGGTGAAGTTACTAGATATGAAATAAAGGATTTCATATCTGAAAAAGAAAACCTTAAATCTGTTAAAAATATTCTTTTGAGTTTTTTTCATTTGCATTATTGTAAATGATAGTTTATTAAATGTTGACGTAAAAAATTAATATCTCCCATCTCTATGTTTAGCCCCACAATTTCATATAAATATGGGTGGCTATGCTAAAAACTTCAATTTAATAGAATAGTAATAAAAATATTAGACTTCTATACATAAACTTGATAGATTATAATGCATTGCTGGAGTTGCCTGCTCATGGCACTAAAGAATGGAGGGGGAGACAGACACTGTAGAGTAATTTGCATAATTTTTAATGCAAATTTAGAGCCTAATGAGACAAATTGAAACACATAAACTCCTCTTGTGTCTAATTACAAAAATAGGAATAAATTAAATTCACTGTAAAGTACAATTACAAATATTTATCATAAATGAGCATGTATGGATTTTTTCCATAATGTTATAATTGAATGAAATGGAATTTCTAATGATGTCAAATTAACAATTTCAAGCTTCATTTTGAGAACTTTATATAAGATCTTCTAGAAGTATCTGGAAACTTGTTTTCAAGGAAACAGTTTCATCATATCCTTTATACCATTGTACTGAAACAACCCCTTTTTGTTAATTGGTTACTATGTTTGCTCTTATATCTCCTGGGTAAAATGGAATGAAGGCAAGATGGACTATTTTATTCCTGTTAAATTTTAGTGCTTATATTGAATTAGTTAAGGAACTGGTCCAGCAAGGTAACACATCTTCATATAGGTGAAAGATTATGTCAAACTTCCAAACTCAATGTGAAAAAAAAGAACAGAAGGGCTGGGGAGGGGGGGAGGGAGGAAGAAAACAAAAGAAAGGGAAAAAAGAAGTGGTATCATAACTGGACTACTGTATTCAAAAACAGCCCATCTTACCCTGCAGTTCATCTTACCCTTGCTGTTTCAAACAAAAAAGGCTGACACACTTGGACATGACAGCCAACTCCAGCGCCAGACTCTGCCTAGAATTCTGCAAGGGAAAAAGTAGAAAAGTACCTGTCTGATGGAGTTGCTCCTAGGCCCTGTCAGTCAGACACCTAGACACCATAACACTAAGAGACTTCCCAACAAGCCCACTACCATTAACTCTTTTTAATTGCTCTCATTTCATGTTAAACACCAGCACCAGTAACGTCAGTAACAGGACTGGAAAGGAGAGAAGAGTGGCGCCACTGGCCTCAGTTTCCCCGGTTCCCACGAGCTCGTTCCTTACCAGGGACTGAAAGCGACTGAAACCACCTGGGCCCGTGGAACAGAGCCTGGTCAGGGGCTGACTGTCATGTACCCAAGGTAACGCCGTGTCCAGCACCATATCCCACAGTTTCCTGGGAGCGGGAGGTGCCAGCAAGGCTGCATGAGTTTCCTCTAGCATGTATCCTCCAGCACTCAGCAAATCTTTTGGAAAGGAGCAGCACTTCATATGCTGATATCAGTATGGCCCAAGTGCTTCTATGTTGTTGCTGCTATTAGGTGAGAGCCTCCGTGTTTGTCTGAAAGCCTGCTTTTAGATGACTTTAGGGTTTTGAGATTTCTTTTTCAAGCAATCAACAAAATCAAGACTGATGCTGTATCCTTACAATGATGCCTTTAAAGTTTATTAAAGACTGAACTGAGTAAAGGTAAAACAATTTAAGGCAAGGACATAGGATCAGGCTTAATTCTGAAAAACTAGTTTTCCTTCAAGGAAAACTATTATCCTCCAAAAATATCTTTTAAAATGAAGGTTGGGGTTTTTTTTTTTCTTATTTTGATTCTCAAAAACAATGTTTAGATGTTACAGACTAAAGAATCTTTTTCTTGCTTAAAGATGATACAAAAATCTAAATTGCTTTTTCCATCATAGAAGCATAAAGCCACATGAGAAATAAAACTCATCATTGATAGAAATGCTGACAATCCTGAGAACTGTGAATGGAATTTGAAATACCTTCTTTCATTCAGCATCCCTTTTTTTGATAGCTTCCTTAAAAGCAATCATTATCTTACAAACATGTATTTGGCAATTGTGTTTCAACTATATAATTTCTTGACATGTATATTGACAACCTAGTTAATAGTAAACAGCCAGCTATAAAAATATTTTTATTTCGGATTTGAAATCCTGATTTCTTTTTACCCATTAATTCATGTTTTTCTGAGCACAGTATTCTTCTTTCTGAGGCATTAGAGACTTTTTAAGCCTACCAACAGGCTATATGACAGAATATTTATTGCAGTTACAGGAAAGCTTCATTTGATGAGTCAAAACCAGGATTTATTTATGGCTGGTGTATTAATAATGGTAAGTTTTAAAAATGATTGCTCAGGTATATTCATTAAAACAACTCTACCAATATGCACTTGTTCCTGCCAATATTTTCTATTATTTTTTGGGGAGATATGCAATGGTTATTTTTCCAGAAAGAAAAGCCATTCCTTTTAATGGCCCTTTAACAGGACTAACAATGTTTTGCATTACACTATATTGCCCAGTGAAATGTCAGTGCAAAATATGAAACTGTGCCATTCAAATGTGTCTGATATTATATGACTGTGTTCGAATCCTTATGGAAAAGAGCAATAAAATGGTGATATATTTTTATGGATCTGTACATTTGGTATGCTTTCAAAATAAGAGGAATATGACAAGGAAATTACAGAGTTTTAAGAATGTGCTAAAGCATTTTACTTAGACAGTTATAGTTAAAACTGCATGTTGGTTTTACTCTGAACAATATGACTACACAGCCGCAAATTTTATTGTCAGCAAAGGCATCAGTTTCTCAGTGCATGGATGGTTGAATATAGACCTTGTTGAATGGTCATTCTGATTTTAAAAATATAAATTATGGCTGGACAGTATTAAATCTCCTATATTATTTTATTTTATAGGTTCTAGCTACTAGATAAAATCTATCTGTAGATGAAAAGTTTCTAGACCAAAATTAAACAAATCATAGATTTTTATATTATAGTCTTATCTGACAAAGATATACTCATTCCTAGGTTGTTTAAATGGAATTTTTTTTTAGGTAATGGACAGATTAGCCAATTTAATTATCCAGTAAGGGTTTCCTGTTTAGGAAATAAACTGTATGGCTATGCTGAAATTTTTTTAAGCCTTAAATTTTTTTATCTGTCTTCAGGCTAAGTCATAAGGTGTCGGGAATGCCTGGATAATCATAAAAAAGCTGGGTTGTGGCTACATGCACAGAGGCACCCATGCAAGTGACTTGCGCCAGAGAACTGTGACCCCCAGCAAAAAGTGGGACATGGTGCCCAAGGGAAAGAGCAGACTGAGTCGTATACCTTGCTGCATGAGAGCTCCAACTCCAAACCAGAAACTATTTAGCAAGGTAAAATTGTTTTCCACCACGTCTGAATCAGGGTTGCAAGGATGTGGGTTATACCACTCATAGGGACTAAACCTGTGGCAATTGACAGAAGAAAAAGAACAGATTTAAAATGCAGCCATCACAAAGTCTATCCAGCAAAACTGCTGCAAAAGAAAAAGAAAAACAAGAGAGGTTATAAAGAAAATCGTGATTGAAAGTTTTTACAGTGCGATTGCATAACAGTTAACAGCAATATTAAGAAAAAACAATATTGAAGATTAACATTCTTAACTGCTGCTGATACTGATAAAGTTGCATACAGATTGGCTCTGAAAGTTTCCAAGTGCCACCTGCAAACATCAAAGCACTTATTCTTTTATTGACACCAACAGAATTCCAGACAATTGGTCCCATTTAGGATTAGGCTCTTATAACCACTGTGTCAGTATTTTGCATCTTGAAAGAAAATTAACATCTGTTAAATCTCAGAACTTCACTAGAAAAAAAAAAATACATCAGGCAAAAGGCTTTTTTCTCATTAAAATTACAAATAATGAAGATACCAGAAAATAAATAGTTAGCAGTAAAAGTGACATTGCTAATCACCAAACACTACTATTCACAGAAAAAAAATACTATAGCAAAATAAAGGAATTGAATCCTGTCCTGTGAGGTGCACAGTAGCATCCCTGGAAAGGTTTTCCAAAAGAAGCTGGGGACACTCACAAGCACCTTGCAGGGCCAGGCTCTGAGAAAAGAAAAAAGAAAAGAAAAGAAAAAGATAAACATAAAGGAAAAGACAATTTAATTATCTCAAAAATAGATAAAACAGAGATAGTAGAAAGATGCCTGAGTCTGGCAATAGATTACAAGCAGATTATATACAATCAATCTAATTCTTGGCTTTGCAATTGCTGTGCATTATGATGAGTTCATATCTAAATGCTATTTTATCAACTGTAGCTAAAACAAGCAAACATGTCTAGATAAATTATTCTTTGTTACAATTTCTTTTGTAAAATAATTTTCAGTTCTCTCTTCCTCATGGTACTTTTGGAGAACTAAATTTTAATTGCAATGGGCAGGATTATTCTAATCATTTTTAAGTTTTAATCACCATGCCTGGACTTGGAGGCACACTGTTGAGAGGGACTTTTATTTTATGCTTAAATCATGTCTTCAAATCTTTGCTAATGAATACATGTGTAATATGTGTAACATGTGTAATATGTTGCATGTGCATAATATATCTGAGTGAAAAAAAATGAAAATCACAACAGTAGAATGGAACTAGCACAAGACACCAGCACAATAATTTTTAAACTTACAGATTTTAACTATTAAATCAATATTAATGTATTTTCATAATTTCTCAAATCATTAAAGCCACTCTGTTAAAAACCCTTGGATAGGCAGCCTTTATAAAAGAACTTTTCTGGTGTATTTTATAATCAAAGATATCTGAATAATTCATCTGTCACTTTGAAAAATAGAATTTTTTTCACAATAATATTTCAAACACATTATAATACAGAAAATCAAATGTTCCACTTTGAAGCTCTTAATGTAATGTTAAAGCACCTCTCATCTTAAAAGTGTCTACTTGACAAAGAACTGTTTCATTTGGATCTCCAAAGTAATACTGATATGCTGTGCAAAAATATTGTTTGGGTTCTAATTAAACATTGTGACCTGAATTCTTCTATTACTTTATAGTAAAACTAGATCAGAAGTTTACTGCCTCATTAAAAATCTAAATATCTTTCATGTCATGGTTTTTTCAATCCAACAAAACCTGGAAACCAAGCACTTGGTGAAACTGAAGCAGGCTTTTATACTCTTTTGCTGAGAGATATTTGAAGATTGAATTGGAAAACACCTTTTTCTTGTGAGGACAGTGTTTGCTAGACAAAACAAATATATTTTTTCTATTTAAATATATATTTCAAGTTGTTTACAGTGATTGTGACATTACTGAACAATCTAAAATATAACTTGGCAGTTTTACCTTTTGGTTCTGATGGCTTATCTTATTTAATAATTTTTATTTTATTTTGAAGCACAGAAAAATTGTCCATAGTTGCAAAAAAAAAGGAGGAAACAACCTACAAGACATACAAGATGGCTTTAGAAGAAAGAAACAATGCAATCTAAGTCGTATAGTTTTAGAATTTTCTACTTATACAGTAAGGAAAATTAATACTGGTTTATTGTGGATAAATACTGTTCCTCCTTATTTTAAGGATGCTCTATGATATTAGATTGTCTAGTGTAAAAATCTTAAGGTATGGATCCTTAATCAATTTTTTTAATGTCCTACGTGTGTGCATAAGTTTCATGCTCTTTAGCCTGTCTCAAAAAATATTCATAAGTCACAGAGTTCCTTGTTCACCTAGCAGGTTTTATAAGCCAGGATCATGCTCAGGGCAGTGTCCATTGTTTCAAAACAAGGGACTGTTCAGTCATGTCTCAAAAACACACAGAGACAAGAATTCCACAACTTCTTGGGAAAATCATTCCCATGTTTAGTTATCATGACAACAATTTATCTAAGTCAGGCCAGAACCTCCCTTGTTTCCAAGCATCAAGAATACCATCTTTTTTTATCCGCTTCTCTTATTTGAAAGTGACTGTTAGGGAAATTCCTTCTGCCTGATCCCAGAACTGTTCACACTGTTTAAATGTGGAATAGTAAATGATATCATGAGAATAATCACTTTCCTTGATTAATGGACTACCTTCCTATTAATTTAAATGCAGAACATTTACTCAGTCAAGAACCAGCATAAAGCAAAAAGAGAACTTCAATGAACAGATGCAATTTTGAAGATTGATTTTTCTGACCACTGATAACAGGTACTCTTCCCATATACCCATTTCTACTAGTGTTTATTCTAACATTTCAAATACAGTCTCTTAGTCTCTAACACCTTCAGGTACCCAAAGTACTTAAAAAAACAGATTATAAATGAACTGCACAAGACCTGAGTTTCAGTTTTCCTAATTGCTGCTACCCACTGAAAAGGTACAAGTACTCTCCAGAAATTATTGGCTAGTGTAAGTAATGTTTAAAAGTCAGCTATCTCAGCAATCCACAGGGAGGAAAGATTTGTGTTAAATTTAATTCTGTTTTAGGAATATGCTATGACATTAGAAATTAAAATTAGTATGCCCAGTGATCAGACAGACCTACTTCAGAACTGCCAATTATTTGAGACGACTGTAATTTATTATATTCTGCATTCACACAGCATTTGAAACAATAGAAGCCAGAAGAAAAGGGATCTTATGTGTGTGTCTCCAACACCTACAGTTGAATAACCATGGAGCCAACCAAGGGTTGTTGGTAAGAACATGTTGTGGTAAAGAACATGATGTGACTGGAGAAGGAGTACATTGGAGATATGGCAGCATTTTTTTTTGGAGAAATGCCCTTGTTCTGGCTCCTGAAATAAACACAACACTGTACAGTTCAAGCAAAGGACAGAGGTCAAAAAGTAGGCATGGACTTTTGATCAAAGGCTGATCTGGTACTGGTGGATCAAGACCACGAAAGCTCTCAAAATTATTTTCAGAAAAGTCTAGAAGAACTATCTGCACATGATAATTAATTTGTATAGAAAGCAAGAAACTCATCTCCAGGGTGGGGAAACAGCTATAAAAAGGCATGTCCATAAAGCCCAGACGGTGCCCACAGGACCCTGGACATCCCACTGGCTGGATCAGTGCTGGAGCCAGGACTGGTGATCTTTTTAGGCTCCTTGAGCCTGTTTGACTTCAGAACCTGTCATAATATTAACTGTGATCTACTGCTAGCATTTTTCTACTTCTCTTTGTATTTGGGAGTTTGATGACATAAGATTCTGTTAATTCTTGACCTGCAGGCGCTCACTCCTCCCTTCCAGTGTCCAGTTTGAGACAAACTCAGGAGGAGACATGACTTATTCAGGATATACCAGAACAGCTTCTACAGTTTTGGTCTGTAAAAAAAAACACAGTCTCCTAGACAGCCATGGGACTCAGTCTAGATGAGTTTAGACATGATTGAAGACTTGGGGTATTTGTACATCCACTACACTCAGAGCAGTACATCCCGTCACACACTGACTGCTGCTTTCACTTGCTTTCATAAAAGGTGTGTGGTCTAGCACGTTCCATACAAATCAACTCAATTCAAAACTGCTGAGAATGTGTAAAGGGTACCCTCCACCAAATTCAATAGTTCTCAAATCAAAACCTGTCAGTTTATCTCCAATGATAGCATGAAGATAGTATTATGTTTTGACAGCAAATTAATAGATATGCTTAATATAGTAATATTAAGCATATGTAATATCTGGAGATAAAGACATTGTCAATTTAAGCTGTATCTTCTGGAGAGCAATGCAATTTGTTAAAAAGAGCAGAAAATCCCAAACTGCAATTTAGAGAGAAGAGGAAATGGAGTAGTGGAGTAATATTTGTAATTGTATTTTCATTACACCAAAACACAGCTGCCTAGGAATATTACACAGAACTGAATTTAGACCAGTAGGCATACTCCTTGTGGGAAAAAGCTGGCTTGGACCCATTAGTATTGCATACTTTTGAGTTTTATGTGTTGCTTTCAGATATCTGCTAAACAGGTATCAGGTACTGTCCTTCAATCATATTCAGCCTGCTACCTGTTAAATTCTTATAGAGAACTTTTCCAGATGGTCTAAACCAGATTTTTTCTTTTTCTTTTTATTATTTTATTGTTATTTGTTATTTTTGTTTTGTCCCTCAGGATAAAAAAAAAAACAAAACACAAGAGATTTTTAAAACACAGGTTGATACTGAATATTTAGCTAAAAATCCGTGAGAGTTATCAGCTTCCATTATAGCACCTGGACTTCAATTCTTACTTAAAAATGCATACTGAGAAAATTTTTCATCCTTATCTCTGAGATGATGCTGCTTTCTGTTCTGACTCAAATAGGAGCCTCATAACAACTATGGAAAGGCTGAGAAAAATCTGTGCTCTACAAGATAGTTTGAAATTACAAGACAACAGTCAAACACAATAAACTTAATTCATGGTCTGATGCAGTCAGATAGAATTCTTCCCTATA